TATTTGTTTTGTTTTGTTTTGTTTTGTTTTGTTTTGTTTTGTTTTGTTTTGTTTTGTTTTGTTTTGTTTTGTCGTGCTTGTTTTGTTTTGTCGTGCTTGTTTTGTTTTGTTTCTGCTTGTTTGTTGGTTTTTGTTTTGTTGTTTTTTCTTTTCGTTTTCCTTGTTTGTTTTTTGTTCATTTTCTTTTTTACATAACTAGGACGTCCATATCAAATAGCAGTGAAAGAACGTTTTTCCTTAATGGCTCTAGGGTGAGTCACAGACGTTTTTAGCGACCTAAAGAACACAGCTCATCATCTCCGTTCAGCGGCAAGGTTTCCTAATTAACCAAATGACACGAGAAATAACGATTAGTAAAAGACTAAAGGTTGTTTACAATTCGAACACCAAAGTGTTTTGAGGGTTAATGGYAATGGTCTTTGCGGTCTGCTGTGGTTCCATACAAAGATTCCATTATCAAACCCATCTCTCAGCGGATGATGATCAGATTTACAATATCGCTAAGATCAAAACCAAACAATTCAAGTGTCCTTTTTATCGCTCTTTTAATTARTAATATTTGTTTTGGACAGTTTATTCAATCTCTCGTAACGTAACGGATCATTTTCGTCTTACGCGTATACGTGGACGYATTCCGTGACAAAACGCGGTGAATTTACTTTATACCTGTATCGGCGTGCGTTCCGTTAAAAGCTGTAAAAAACATACGGTGTCCATTGATTGGTAGTGTTCGCGGCGGGGCGCACAACCGGTCGAGTTCCTGTGCGTTTAACTGAGACGCTTATCATAGCTTTTGATTCCTGCTTTATGGTATCTCACAGCAGATAATGATAGAAAAATATTCCCATTTATCCGGTGAAAAGCTATAATCAATACTATAGTCGGATGTTTTTTCAATCATGAATCGGTGATTTAGGTTTATTTTCAGTGTAATAGTTTTCACGCAATTTCATTCAGTCGGGATTACATCAAACGGTGGATACTTCACGGGTTAGGAGCCTTCGTCTTTAGACAAATGGCCATAAAAGAAATCTACTTTAAAATATTCTATTTTAATTTCATTTTCCGCCTTGGCACTATCATTGCTTAGCTTATATGATAGCCCAAGATATGTTTGATGGGTTTAATGACTTTAATAGTTTATTCACGGTTTGTCCGCCTTTTATTTGATTTGTTTTCACCTTGCCAACATGAAAATCATACCTCGACCATTGGGTTTTGTTTCACGGTTTTACGGTTCACACTCCTCGACTATTAGATTTTGTTTCACGGGTTTACGGTTTACACTCTGGATATTACACATTAGCTTAATTTTGTTTCACAGTTTTAGTGCTATGAATTCAAAGCAAACAGTATATTTCCAACCCTAAATGATTCGCCAAGCCCCTACCGCTTTGAATAAAAGGATTGTCGGTAACCCCCCAGGAAAACGCCGTTCAAGCTGTCAGTCCCGAGACACCACTAAGTAATCATGGTAGTGTTTCAATAGAATATCGCTATTTACCGCGATGCCCTAACTATTAGATCACTGAAGAGTGTTGATGGAATTCCATCGCTGCAAGGGAGCACTATTCAAACATTGCTCATCCCACATGGAGCCAGCACCAAATTGCTCAAATCCCACGACAGTATCGTTTGACTTGATGATCAATCCTATCAGCATTCGACTTGAACTTCAGCGAAAGTTTAAGTAATTTTTAAGAGGTCGCACTTGAGAGTATTTCATTTTGTATTTGTGTAATGAGTTTATACGTATTCCAATTGCTTATTTTAATAGTGAGATTACTTCACAAGGTCAACGAACATYGYGAATTCTTGAAATGTTTGTAAAATTAGTGCAAGAGTACAGCTGGTATCAGCGACGTCAAAACTGTCTCGTTCCAATCCTCCGCACGCGCKCGKACGTCTGTCTTGGGGGCGACGCAAACCCCTTGCACACATGTTTCGTTTAGGAGCAGTTATGGGCGATTTCCTGTTTTGGTCATATTGAGTATATCTAGTCATTGTTTAAACATTTATGCAGTACGGGGTACAAGGATAATGGGTGATTAACGGTAGAGTTTCTATCCTTGTATTTAGTTGCAGGATGTCGCTGTTACGGATTTTTTGCGGTTTGCTGTGGATTCACGATAGGACCCGATAGAATAATTTATACTATTTGAAAGAAAACCATCTTACTAGGCATGCATTAAAAACCCATAAAACAAAAAAATTATCGAACAGGGGTGTGATAGTTTGGAACATATAGAGTGAAGTCGGTGAAACGAAATTGGACTATTAAAGTTTGATAGTCAAATAAACACAAAATGAAACAATGCAAAGAGCGTTGTAAGGTGTATCGGTGTAATATTTTTTTTCACAGGTTATTGACTTCACACTAGCGAAGTCAAAAAACCCTTGAAGTAGCCACCAACACACTCTAATTGAAAGCTTTTGTGAAATTTCGTTTCACAGGTTTAATGATTTCGCTCTGATACCCGTGAAACAAAATCTAATAGTCAAGCTGCGATAGTCCGAATAGACACACAACAGAAAACAATGCAGTTAGTGACTATTACGATTCATTAATGCGGTATCTATTTCAAGGGTTTATGGAAACCACTTCATTCAAAGAGACACAAAAGGAAATTATGGAATTAGTGAATACAATAATGTGTATTAGTCTTAACGGATCAATAAGAACAATCATTATTATTGTAATAATTTACACTGTATATTTGCGCAAATTCGTACAGAGTATTTCACGGTGAAAACCGACTCTCAAAGCACTCCAATCTGAATATTTACAAGTCAGACGCGCGACACTAAATCTTAGTAAGGTTACACGATGCCTTTTAATGAATTACTGTACATATAATCAGAACTGGAAAACTTATTGATTGAATCAGCTACTAAGAACCGTGAGAACTTCGTAAACAGAATCACTAATACTCGATGAAGACAGCGTAAATCATCCAATAAAAATGAGCGCTTGATTTCATTAGGCACGTATCAAGACGATACTGCTAATAGCCGTGAGAAGCTGCGACGCGCTYCAAGCTCTGCGATGCTCACTTTCGAGGCGTGCTTTGTACGCGCAAAACTGATATGTTGAAGTAAACGTTTTGCATGCGGAAAATTTCAAAACAGTTGCCAAAAATCAACCCTTTTTTAATATTCCAGAAAAGTTTTGTAACTCAAAATGAATTTCTGGACTCAAAAAATGTTAAACAACTATCCACTGGTTCAATTTTTGCTCCTTTAAACTTTAAGGTCGTATCAACTTGACTTTGAGCGCGCAGATTTCCGTTYAGTAAAACTACACACAAAGCACAGCCGACTTGCGAATTTCGCGTCAGTAGTCAAACCAAAAGAATCAAGACGAGGCTCTGTGCGCAAAGTTCAGTCAATAGGAAAAAAACTATTGTCTTTTCACGATTGACTGAGCGTTATGCACGGCGCCTCGTCTTGATTCCTTTGTGCGTGACAACCAAGGCAAAATTCGCAAGTCAGCCAATGTAGGGTTGTGCATCAAATTAAAAAAAAATCTGCTTTACGTGCATTGTTTCCCGAATATCAGTCATTTTAGTAATGTTTATATAACAGATATAACACATCTTAAGAACTTAATCATATCACAGTTGTAGGACTGCTAAGAGATTTAAATCTCTCAAAGCATCGAGTATTTATACAACTTATTATATGTCTTGGAGTCAATCAGACATTTAATCAGAGTAATAACAATTGGATTAGAGTGGGGCGAAGCTGTTGGAGGACATGTGTGTGAGCGAGGGGTCTGGTGAAATTGGAGGGGATGGAATCGTCCAAATCCCCTCTCCAAATCCGATAAACGGCGAATCAAATAGTCCAACCATCTTGACAATGTGGATGTCTATTAAAATAAGAGACATTGTTTGCGTAGTAAATTGGTGGATACTTTTTTGTCGGTTTACGCTTTAGCTACAAAAACGAAAAAAAGTAGCAAAAACCGCACTCRCGCTCGCGCATGGACGGGTGCACATTTCCTGTAAACATCCTACATGTTTTAATAATTATTGATAAATTAAATGTAGCGTGCGGTTTTGTCGTCTCTATTTCAGTTTGTTCTGTTCTGTCGTGTCTTTTTGGCTTGCATTTCTATTGGTTTGTTTATTTTTTTATTTGCTTGTTTACTTTTAATTCTTTGTTTATCTGTCCGCTTGTTTGTTTCGCTTGTTGCTTGTTTTTTTTTTTTGGCTTTTTTCCTTCGTGTTGCATCTAAATTGCTACACACAATTCATCCAGCTATCGAATACCATTTCAAAACAACACTCAATCCCAAAATCCTTTCCAAAAGTGTCACATCTCTCGATTATCCTCGAAATCCAGGAAAAAGCGCTTTAATCAATACCCTTACGAGTGCCTCTTGATACCCAGTCTCGTACTTGCAGATATAAATCAAATCTGTTGAGTAGATATCTCAWTATCTACGTCATTACGAGACAAAGTCTTTCCAAACGTGTAGCCATTTACTGCCGTGTTGCGGCAGGCTTGCGCCAAGACCCCCAAGGCGTTGACACAAACAACACTGACTAATAGGCCTGAACTCGGCTATAAATATCGTGCATCGATACTAAGCTCAATGTTTTGCAATCCAGAGGTCAAAAATCGAATAGCGCTGGAGGTATAAGGACTTGTAATGCTTATTTATAGCGCTGATAACTTCATTGAGCATTTCTTACTTGGTTGCGTTATAATTTTTTAATGGGATGTWTTCCAATTCAGGAAGCTCATGTTTTGATCCCATAGAAGTAAAGACATTAAACCGTTCCATCCGGGCTGGTTATCCGCGTGCATCCTCTCAGGGGCCATACATAGCAGCRGTGATCCAATTAGAGACAGATTACATTCCTATTAATGTATTACTTACGAATGTTTACAGACGCTTTGTTCTTTCAAGTGGCCATATGAGGGATATTAGACCGACCCTAATTGGATGTCAAATGGCCTAATCTGAGTGGTATGGAATGACTTKCGGGGTTATTTACTCCACATCAYAGCACACAGACAATAYACTCAACAACCAAGACGCCCATTTTTCTCGCACGGTASWCACTTTCGCGAAAAATGTCAAATAGTTTTAGCATCAGCGCTCTACTTGGGGAATCTCGTAAAAGTCCYGAAGAGATCCAAAGAGATGAAACTAGYGAGAAGGCGCAGAATGAGGATGATTATGGCACTTCAAGTCGTGAAACTGGTAGGCGTTTTTCAGCTTTGATTTGGTCAGACTCCGCGTCTTCTATGAGATTATAAGACCTGTAACTTTTGTCAGTTTATCATAGGATGCTAGTCATTAGTAGTGTTAAGTTGAGTGCCATTGTTTCTTCGTAGGTGAAGACGACAGCGGCGCGGAATCAGTTTCTGATGAAATCGAAAAAGCTTTCTACGAACATGGCGAGCACACGACAATCTTGCACGACCARAAGATCCACAGCAACAAAGCAAGACGGAGACGAACGGCGTTCACAAGCAGCCAACTTAAATCACTAGAGGAGAAATTTCAAGAAAAGAAATACCTTACAATCAGCGAACGAAACAGCCTGGCAAARGCGATGCATTTGACTGATACTCAGGTCAAAACTTGGTTTCAAAATCGACGGACAAAATGGAAAAAGCAAATGGCGCCGGAATATGAAGCTACGATCAGAAACGAAGGTTTAARCGCACTTTATGGACAGAGTTTCACAGCTATACCTTTTAGTTACTATTCTGGGACAGATTATGGCATTCCCTTGATGCMTTCGTCGCAAGCTTTTGGAGTTTTACCAGGTTTTCGCTTTCCTCCTTCGAACTTACAAGTGTTGTATTCCAACATGTCTTTGTATCCTTACTGAAAARAACTCAACAGAGGGACATTCTTCGCAATAATATTTCAACTACAGTATTTATTCCTATACACGGAATGCATGCTAACATTCTGGTATTAAATTATTATCTGGTTTGCCAAGGAAAATGATTGTAAATAGACTGGATATTAAAGTGTACAGGGTCTTTGTACAAACTGAAACGACAATCTTTATAGGTTTTCATTCGCTTTGCTGGGAGTCACGCTGAGGGATGACAATGCAAGACTTTATCAACAATTAATCAGTTTATTAAGTATCTTTGATTTGAAATCGTTGTTTTGTGAAAATCTCCTCTTAGTATTATTTAGAATCGGAATTATCAGATGAGTCTCTCTGTATGCTGCGCGCGCTGGATTGTTTTCAACTTACTGTATTAGTCAATACGCGATTGTCTTGAAAACATTCACAACTAATTAACTTCCTTTCCTTTTCTTAATAGAWGGTCTAGTGTAAAAGTTAATTTAATAAATGGTCTGGTAAAGATTTAGACTATAGAGCAAAAAAAAAAAAAACGATTAGACCAAGCTATTTAACTTTGACCTCAACTCGAAACAGCGACTTCTGTGACACCAAAACAAACAATCCGTAGTCATTCTCTCGTAGCACTGACTGTATCTAATGGCATTCGTATCCGTTATTAGCAGACTATTTAAATTACTACATCCGCATTAAAAAAACTGGTAACAGTGTGTGGTTTTCTAGAAGTTTCGAAAATTAAGTTGATCTGTCGTCAATTGAACGAAACTACTGTTGGCTTATAGACGCGCCGCGTTTAGGTTAATCGTATTTAGATAATATTATATGAGTGTTGCGTGGGATTTGAAGAGTTCATTTACAGTATTTCAAGTTTCTATAGATTTGTATCTCATGAATRAGGTTTTTAAAACGCTTTGAGTATTCATTTAAACAGTTTTTTGAATCGATCGTCTCCCACGATGTTACTAGGTGATCTTGGTGGCCATCTTGGTCACCACTAAACCAACATTGTTGGCCATACGGTTGACTATTCTATTGTAATGCTCCTTTAGAATGATATTTTCTTTGAAAAAGTGAAAGTTGAGCAMAAGTATATTTTGTCTACAGGTATTTTCTTTCTTATATGTCACGGTTCAATTTCTCTTCTACCTTTGAACTCATCTTGTCCTCCATTYTATTTCTTTTTAATTCTTCGTCATCTTCTCTCATTTAATGAAGTCATCTTTCTTTAGTGCCACTCTTTTCCCGCTTAATTTTTAGCCATTTGTCTTAGTTCCTTCTTTGTCTTCTCTAATTGAAGTGTCTTTATTTTGCTTTTACTCAAATTTCAACTGCTTGTTTTTTATTTGTTTTGCTTTTGGTGGTAATAATTTCAATATGGCGGAGTCGTTCTTCAGTCTACCCAGATGTTTCTGTTTAATGTTTGGCGATTTCATCTTCACTCAACTATTGTGGAATCATAATTCATATAACGAGTTGAATTAGAAATGTCTTAATCAGGATTCAAGCGAAGTGTCAAGCGATGCCATTTTGTTCAGCAAGCTAGAAGCGTACGGGGAGTGTTCATAGCACCTTAGCATCAAAAAAGCCTCCCTATAAAAGCCGTTATATGTTCTCTCAGTTGTAAACGGCATATCTGCTTCCATTTTTTMAAAGAAAAAACAAACACTTGAAAAAAAAAAAATTCAAAAGAAAAAGTGCCATGGAGAACTCCAAACTCCCATCATGCCTAGTTGTKCAAAATGGCGTCGCTGCGCCTTTCTATTGAAAACTAGCGTTGTTTTGTTATATAAGTCTTATTTTTTTCTCATTTAAAACACGTCTTAAGGTATATACTCTTATTTTCAACCATTCTTTTTTTTCATGCCTTCGAAAGCATCTTCGTCAACCAATGAAAATTCACAATGAAAATCTCTCCTTTTTAGTTTTTGACATCCGCCATTTTGATACGTACTTTTATCAATACCATGATGCATTTCGCCAAATCATCCATGACGTCATCACAGGAAAGAACCGTTGAACTTGGTGTAATCAAGTTGTGCCTAAATTCCAATTCTACCGCATGGTGACAATATTTATACGATCGTTTAAACGAAGCACTGAGCTCGGATCAAGCTACTGATGACTGCAATTATAAGCTGATCTCCCACGTTGTCTCCTAGTAGGCATATAATAGAGTTATTCCTTGTATGTTTGCTATGTTGAGAAATGTCACGAACTGAAGGTACAGTGAATAAAAGAGTGAAAGTWTGCWCGTTTTGATCAGYTTAATAGRCAATGTGGAGCAACRCCATTTTGTGTAACAAAGCAATGGGAGTTTAGTCTTGAAATGGYCGACYAACCAGCACTCCAAAGCAGTTTTTCTTGGGAAAATAGAAGAAGTTGTGCCGTTTATACAAAGAATTTATGCAAACGACTTTTAGGGAGATTTTTAGAGCCTATAAAAAAGGTTTGAAGCTGGARCAAACCTTGCCAAGCWGAGGAYACCTTGCTGCGTATGAAAGAACTGTAGTTTWAAGGGTGGATCAATGCACGAGGACGTTTCAGGTCCTCAGGGCGGGGTGCAGGGCATCCTAAGGTTAACAGAGTGGGGTGTGTTCCTTAGCGGATGTCGCAACAAAAGAGKAATTCCTTATTTATTAATAAAACACTCAGAAGGAAACAGCCCTCTTACAATTGCGATTCGACAATAATGGCCCCGCCCATCCTCGGGAACCCAGGCGTAAAGGGTTCTWCCTCCTARAATAGTCTATTAGGAGGAACGGACGGAKATTATTATTACTGGGTTCCTGGGGATGACGCTGTTCATAATCAAGAAAACAAACTGAACGAATTTGTGGATGATATAAATGTTTAGGTCATAAAACCTGCGCTGCCATCATCTTCAACCCACYCAAGGCATCGTCGTCGTCTTTCCTGACACGTCGCGCACGCGTACAAACCGCGAGGCCGTCACATACTAAACGCGCGCATAAACGGCTTTGTTAATACTGTGGATTGCATGAGTTGGCATAAAACATGCATATCCGATTGGAGGGCATCATGCTGAACGCTCATTTCCGATACGCCATGGCCTGCCCGCTTAACCAGTAGGAGACCTTCCACTTAACCGTCCTGTGTGAAAAGTGGTTGACTTTCAAATTGCCGAAAGCGGCTGCCATTTTCAATTCGCTCMTAGGGAGCCGGTTAATTGTATTGTTTATTCTTTTAACGTTCGCCATATTGAATTGCCCGCCATTTTGGGTTGGAATGTTCCACTTACTGCGATAACAACAGCCGCAGTTCGATGCCATAAGACAACATTTGCTGGACCCCTTGATTCCCCTTGTCCTGGTCCTTCGTATGTTTTTTCAGCTTGTCATCTTCTTGTTCATTGTTTTCTCTTSAAAATCTTCAGTGTTCCTTGTTGTTSTTSTTCTTGTTTGCCCAAGGAATTATTTATTACTTATTCGAAAATATATACGCACAGTTTCCATTTGATTCTATAGCAAACTAGTTTCTACAGTAAAATAAGTTTAAAAAAATCATTAGTGAATGTAATTTTGCCCTTGGGCAACATCAGAATTCAAGATGGTCTCTTTATACGGATAGAAAGTCATCTGCAGGGTCGTCATTATTCACTKCTGTACTTGKTTCTTCACTWGAAAAGAAGTATTYTTTRGCAATTGGAAACGGAAAAGAAGAAAGTTMATTCTCAGYAYAGCAACCATATACTAATGTTGGCGTCGTATATCATGCAATTCAAAGGAACAGACCGAAGAAGAGAGACCGTAAGAAGATGCAAGGTCACATATGAAGCATTATATTTAAGAAGAAGAGTACAGATCAATAAATTGAACAATATGCAATGACTACAGAGTTCAGGCATTTATCACAGTTCTTTTTAATCCTTTGTAGGCTTGTCTACGTGAACAGCAAAGGCAACAAAGTGAGGGAGATCATTACTATTCTACGTGCGTGGAYGAGTTACGTGCAAGCTACGTGAGCGAAAGATGTGCAGTCAAAACCTCTGTTATCCGAACTATAAGCTTGGTCGTTCTATCAAGGCTTCCTGTGCTTTTCTGTTTATCATAGTGTTATGGATATGACAGCGACACGTGTTGCTGAATAGTTTAACCTCTGTTATCCGAGCTATAAGCTTGGTCGCTCTATCAAGGCTTCCTGTGCTTTTCTGTTTATGATTTTGTTATGGATATGACAGCGACACGCGTTGCTGAATAGTTTAAATCACTGCATCTCGATTAGGTAAGTCAATTAGGCTAATGATGACAGCCCGGCGATCAAAATAAACCAGACATACCATTCACAATCAAACTGTCCGAACAATGCTTATAAGATTTCCCTGAAATTCAAGTATTTTGCCCATTGTTTTATCCCCAATAGGTAATCAAAGAATTCCCCTCCATGCTATGATGGTCGAGCCCCTGGTGTATGAGTTAGCGCTAATGAGGGTTTAAATGTTCGTATGGTCATTTATGCAGTCAACTGTTGATCTCATGCTGAGATGGTGGTTACACAATGACGCTCTGCATGGCTTGTATGGACGGCGGCCTATGAACAACGATTAGGTTCATGTATCATATCAAACAGTTGTCTTAAACGATTGGTAATCCTAAAATAAGCCGCGAGTATAAAGAAATAACATTTCGTTCTTTCACGCCGGAAGCAATCTTTCGAGGAGATATAGGCTAATAGTGATTTGGAAAAGCCTTAGAAAAAAAGTAGCCATTTTTTTGGATATAGTTACTATTCACGCAAAAAGTGGCTTACGCCTTGTGAAATTTTCTAAGAATAGAAAGGCATCCACAGCCATCAACAATTTTCTCTGTTTGCAAGAAATAGTTCAAAAAGAATAGCGCACGAAGCTGAAGATCAATAAATATTTGGAAAACATATTATGTGATGAAATCTTTGCGCAAATATTAATGACAATAATTAAATCGATGAGTAATTCAGGGTTCCTGTTTGAAGGTGTTAGAAAGGATGCGAGCGGGAACAAACTCTCACCAAAAATCATTATTATTAAATAAACATGTTCCATCACGATATATCATATCATATTCATATCTTTCCATCACGATAGTCTAATATCTACGCAAGGTTAACCAATCACAATGCACCCAAGATTGTTTGCCATGCAATAATTACTCATATTGACCGAAGCTTTGTTCTTTCAAGTGTCGCACGTGAAACATATTAGGCTGTAACGTAATTGCTTGTCAATTACCTAATTGACCGGGGCTGCGTAGCAAAGGACACTGACCAGTCCACATCAGTCATATATCGGCGGGTTTAAAAGGCGCGTCATATCCTGGGGATACATTTATCTTTGGTTTTTAGTATCGACAA